AATAAAAACATACGATCGAACTGAAATTTTAATTCGTTTCGGCGGATTGTTTTACCTAATAGTATACTTATTTAGTATAGCATATGTTATTTTTGAATATTAAAGGAAAAGTATTAATAATATTTTCAAATAGATTAAAATATATTACAAAGGTATTAGTTTTATTTTTTAGTTAATACTTATGTATTATATTTATTAATGTTATTAAGTTATTAAAAAAATAATAATTTTAACTATTTTGATTATTACAATAATTTGTCAAATTATTAAATTTAAATAAGAATTATTAACTTAATTATTTTTTTTAATTTGTAAAGTTTTCTTTTATATTATATTTTTATATATTATTAAATAAATTTTACTAATATAATGATATTACTAAAAAATTTTTTTTAATTCTCTTATTTAATAAGTTAAAAATAATTAAATAAGGTTAATAAATAATAAAATTTTGAATTTTGAATATTTATTATATTTTAAATTATAAAACTTATCATTTTAACTTCTTTTACTACGTAAAAGTTTTAATTATTTGATCATCCCAAAATGTAAATTTCAGTTTTAATATAATTCAAGTATTAAATATTTTACAGTTGAAAAAATTTTTCAATTATGTAATTTAAGTAATATACCAAAATTAGGAATCTTTGACCCGAACTTGAGATCGGCATCGGAATAATTACTCGATATGTAAGAAACGTTTCGTAGATATTTGTTTATATAACGGGTATTGAACAGGTGATAGCCGCTTGAAATACCCTAAGATTAAGTAATCACACATGATGTTGATTGACATTGGAAAATATAACCAGACTTTTCGAAATGTTAAAATCGTAATATCTCCAGATTTTTTTTTTCATTATAAAGTTGTAATGTCATGCAAATAATTTTTAGCCACTCGAATGTTTATATCGAAACCTTAATCATATATTTCGATTACTAAGGTATAAATCACTTTCCTTTAATTTCAATAATGAAAGATTTTGTCTTAATAGAAAACAATATTGAATCACAAATTAAGAGTTTGGTCTCATCCCATTCTTAATTGTTTTGTGGTTTCACAAGATTTTGCCTAAACTCAGATAGGCAAGGACTACGCCTACATATGACGCCTTTATCATGACAAATAATACCTGATACCATATACGCCAGCAAAAGCTCCTGATGTAGGGGGGATCTCAATAAAGAATATATCAACATTTTTTTTTTATATTTGTGTTAAATGGTATGTATTTTCGAACGTGTTTGCATTAGAAACAATTGTTGTCGAATATGTCTATAATGACATGACACGAGAAACACTCGATTTTCACCCGATCAGCTGTTAATGCAGTAATTGTTAAAAATAAGTTGATTTATCTTATTATGAATATCAAATGTAATTCTGTGTAAGATTTAGTCAGGACTATTCAATTAATGGATATACTCCGTTCGCGTTCATTCTTACCAATAATTTTTGGTCGTAGCTGCGGAACAATAATACACTGCGGCTGATTACATTTTTCCTCGGCTGAAATTAATCCGCAAATCACACAATTGGCAGGAAATCAATGAATTATTGCATCATCAGATTACAATACAATTTGCTGCGCCAAATTGGGTTATTTTAAAATTTTCCACAAATAGACATTTTCGCTCCTTTGTTCGAGACTCTGACCGGAATTATTATTCAAACAGGGATAATAAACCCCTGCCTGTAATTCTTTATTATGTTGACAAATAAAATAGAGGCCCTCAAAAGTTGTAACCTTACAAGTTATGGAGGACAAGATTGAAATCAGAAAATTGCTTTGTTTGTGTGATTGCCTGTTTGTATATATGTCTTGGGAATTTTTTGTGCTCCCAAACAATAGAATAAAATGAGGTGACTCATTATTTGTGAATCCAATTCTATCGATTTTTCTTTGACATTCTATGCACGCTTTGAGAGAACCTTTTTTTTTTTTTGTACCCAAATGAAGTAAAAACCAGTATAGATATCTTGATGAAGTATAAGTCATAACACGTGATAAGACTAAATTATTGGGTGACTTTATGATAATCAAAACGGAGTCACCCGGGGCAAAGCAAAATTAGCCTAACCCGTCCGCAGATATGAGTCAAACACTGTGGCATATATAAATATGGGTCAGATTTCAAATTCTTGACACAAAATTTTTAAAATATTTCCACTTATAAAGCTTGAAACTTAAAAGCTCTCTCTCTTAAACCTCAAAAAATCTAGAAAATAAAAAAAAATTAATTCTGCGTTAACTGCAGAACCCTTTTTTTTATATGTTTTATTGTTTATTCATTTGAACCTTACTCTTATATATTTTTATTGTTGAGACACCATGTTAGATATAATATACTCTTCAATTCCAGTCACTCAGATACCACTCAGAGAAGGTTTGTTTTTAATTTCTTTTTTTTTTTTTTTTTTTTTTAAAAAAATAAAACTTTCCGAAATTTTTTTTAATAGTTCCTTTAGTAAATGGTTTTTCACTGATAACTAACCAGATAGTTTTCTCTCCCAGTAGCAGTCCCAAATGGGAAGGTATGCATGGTGACTCACAAGATTCCGGAAAACGCCCAAAATGGGAGGATGATTTCCGCCACAGATAACAACCATTTTCTGGAAAATATGCAACATCAGCCATCATTAGGAACATTTGGTCATGTAATACCATGTGATCATCCAAAGCATCCAAAGTATCCAAATAAGACTAAGACTAATACTACCACTACCAATAATTGTAAAAATAATCGAAAGATAATTTTGGTGGAAAGCCTTGTTGGTAAGTGAATTCTTGGTGAATAAGGATCATTTTTTTAAAAAATCAGATTATTCGAATCTCATCAATAGAATTTATTTTATAGATACGACAGCGATAATTATTGATGAAATTTGGTATAATTTTCCCGTTCATTCTAATTCACAAGTCATCCCACTTCGCATTTTTATTCAAGAAACGTTGCGTCGATCGAGAACTTCTTGGTCGACACTTCAAACAGCTTTATTCTATCTCAAAAGAATAAAGCCTCAAATCTTTTATCTTTGGCTTAATCCTGATCGTTGGACATTAAACTCAAAAGATAATAATAATCAAGGTAGTGATCCAGCCACTTGTGGACGTCGTATGTTCCTTGCATCTCTTATCATAGCATCAAAATATCTTCAAGATCGAAATTATGCAAATAATGCTTGGTCAAAGATATGCGGACTTCCCGTTCAAGAGATAAATGCGATAGAAAGACGTTTCCTTGAACTTATTGATTACAATTTGTTTATAGGAGAAGATATATATCAACGATGGACCAATGTTTTAAATTCTCACATTCAAGCCATTTCAGAACCTGAGGCGACTGCTGAAAATCAACAAGCTGTAGCTCAATTCAAACAGACTCTGAGGTTGCAACCCCAGGCGGTAGAATGTAAAGTTCAGGGTTAAATGAAGGAAGTTTGATTGATTTAATTTTGTCACGGCTTAATTTTTTTTTTGTTCACAAAAGCTTGTAATTTTTTTCTTTTTTTAAAAAAAGATTCCCTGTCAATATTTGAACATTAAAAATTCTTCGTATGTCTGCTTTATTAAAAGAAGAGATAATTTCAATTTTTCCGTTGTTATATTTTTTCTATTTAGCATTAATTCTTTTCCCCTTCCTTTGAACATTTCTTTCTTTCTTTTTACTTTCATAGGATTTAGATTCAAACTTTTACACATCCCAACAATACCACCCTTTTTTGTCATCACTTCAAACCCAAACCGGAATGAAAAGAGTAAGGTTCTTTGAATAAACAATTTAATTTTTTTTTAAAAAAAGAATCTTTTCCTTGTTATGAAGTGAGTGACATGTACCCGAGTTGTTTTTTAAAAAATGAAACGTACTGCGCCGTTAACTCCAAAAGATTTTCGGAATGTTTGTAAACAAAAAAAATTGAGTCTTAACTTTGCATCTTGTTTGTTAATTGATGCGTGAGAAACTTTTTAACAGAAATCTAATAGATTTCAAACAATCGTTATGGCTGAAGCTTATTATTTTTTTATATTTATTAGTCCGGGACTATATTTTTCTATCCCGCTCAATAATTAAATAGCTTTTGTAATTGTACAAAAGTCTAGATAAAAGCAAATATCTTTTTAGTTAAGATCGTTCCGGGCTTAACAACGGTCCCGGAGCGTAGCTAAAGTGTAGCCCGCTCGAAATTTGAGTCGATACGTGATTGGTCCCTTTCGTTACACTTGTGTTATGGACTTATCAATGGTTAGAGTCGATTGACAAAAAATTTTTTATTTTAAGATCGCTCCGGATTTAAAGCAAATTCTTTATTAGTAAAAGACACTTCCTTTTATATTTATCATTCGTTTCAGGACAAGCCTTAGTATTCCTTGTATAAATTATTAGAAGGTTGTAATTATTGTTTCGATTCCGAATTAAATAAAATCATATAAAATCAAATTTTTTTTAAATGAGAATTTGAAGATTTTGATTGGTCACCAAAAAGATTTAACAATACAATTCAAATTAAAACAAAGTTTCAATATTATCAAAACTTACAATTAACAAACATTTTCTAATCTTTCTCAACTAGGAGTTTCCACCTCACATCATAAACATTGCCAATTTATTTTTGTTTACCATTTTCGTAAAAGTATTCATCACAACACAACTATTACTAAATAAGTATACTATTAGGTAAAACAATCCGCCGAAACGAATTAAAATTTCAGTTCGATCGTATGTTTTTATT